TTTAATTGCAGTGGTGGGTGGTTAAATCAAGATGGCTAAATTCCCAAGGTTCAGGCTCCCAGCCTCCATCCAAACCTTTTAATCTGCCAAGTGGCATGGCAAACCTTGTGAGCTCAGGTTTTCTCCAGGAGGTGGCTGGTAAATCTACATTTGTTTCTGGCATGAAACCAGTGAAAAAGAACTCCAAGGAGATTTTTGGTACCACATGAAAAGTCCAGCTTAGGTTTGGTTTAGAAAGTTTAGTGACTATTCATTGGATCATGATTTAGAGCTGGAGGGTATTGATTCAAAATCTGGTGCTTTTTCCTGATGGATAAAAAACAACAACAACAAAACTAAAAAAACCTTTCAGCTAAGCAAGGTCTCCAGCCATGGCGGCTACACCATCAAAAGTCCAGTAAGCCCAATTAGAAAGCAGCCACCCACACCTGACTAAAACTCTTAATGTTACCTTTTTACTTCACCTTCAAGTCTCAGCCAGGCATCTCACCATCTGTCTGACACTGATGCCCAGCTTCTCCTCACCTGGACCAGCACCTTTTGAATCCAGGCCCTGAGCTCCTGGGAAGATTGATCCATTCTTCTTGTAATTTCCACTTTGAGAGGCCCACAGTCTTGATTCATAATTAAGTGAATGAAAATGAGCCCATTTAGCCCTCTATATCTAACTTTCCTCAGACCATAATTCACCTTTACATCCTAGCCAGTCATCAACCCAGGTGATCCTGCCACCTGCCTACCCTCCTCCACAGGGTACCCTCCTAGGAACATCAATCACATCAATTAGACTATTGCTTCAGGAAAGGATTTGCCAATTGATTGCCATATATGTCAATTCACCTTCCCTGTGACTTCACAGGCCAAAACTTCCTTCCCTGGCCACTACTCCCCCCCTCCCTTTTTTTTTTGTGTTGTCTTTCCATGTTAAAATGTAATTTTCTTGAGGGCAGAGACCATCCATCCTTTTTTTGTATTTGTATTCCTGGCACTTAGTATGCTAACCTACCTGGAATAGCAAACCCTTAGTAAATGCTTTTCATTTCATTCAAAGTGACTGATGTGGGACTTAAACAAATATTGTTAAAGAATGAAATATTCTATGGAAGATTCTTCCCAAATGCCCCTTTGTTGACTTGTTGGCTCTAACAGCTCAGCTACAAAAGGCTACTTTGCCCTTAATACAGAAAGGGGAGTCAAGAAGGGAGTATTATCTTCACATTTTCTTTAGGAGGTAAGGGGATAGGATTGGGCAAGTTAGGGTAGAGCCTTGGTAGGCTTCAGGGGACTGAGCTCTAGTGCACAGTCATTGGCGGCATTGTCAACATCAGATGTCCCCATTGGCTGAAGGGTGCAGGTGGTGGGGCCTGCCAGTCACCAGAAGCAGATGGATAGCCCTGTCATTCTTCTATAGGTTAGCCACATGATCATACATGTGAAATAGGGTAGGGTAATGGAAAAAAAATGGGATTTGGAGTCAGATGTTAAGAGCTTCCTAACATAGTAATCATTGATTCATACCTCATTACTTTCTAACTATCTGGAAAGGAGGCATAACAACGTAACATTCTCCTTCCCACCTCCACACCACCACCCAGCTCTTTGCAGAACAATAGGTCTCAGAAGAATTTGTAGAAATGAACCATGTGACTGGATAATAGAGGTAAAGTCCTATTATTTCAGAGCAGGCTCCTTTTTAATTTTAAACTGTTTTTTACTTTACAAGTTGTGGCACTCCCAAAATTGAGTCAATGATCAGGGCATAGACCTTGTTTTACAGAAATAGATTTTTGCTTCCACCCTTCAGAGACTGCTAAGGAGCAGGCTATTAAGACAAAAGGAAGATAATTTTTTTTGCTGGGCTCTCTAACCCATAAACAGGCTTTGTTGTTGTTTAGTCATTTTTCAGTTGTGTCCAGCTCTTTGTGAGCCCTTTTGGGTTTTCTTGGCAAAGATATTAAAGCGATTTGCCATTTCCTTCTTCAGCTCATTTTACAGATGAGGCAACTGAGGCAAACAGGGTTAAGTGACTAGCCCAGGTTCACACTGCTAATAAGTATCCAAAACTGGATTTGAACTCAGGAAGAGGAGTCTTTTGACTGTGAGTTAGGTTGGAACAAATAGGAAGGATGTATGAAAGATTACACATAGAACCTCTATGATGACCAGTTCCTAGTCCAACCAGTGACTGGCTACCTCTCCTGGTTCTCTGGCTCTCTGTCACTGGCTCCCAGCTCAGAAGCTGAATGCACATCTGTGAAAAAGCTCTTTTGCTCCTTCTCTCTGACAGCCTGTGATGCATCATGGTCTTCCTCTTCCTTCCAGGCCAGAGGCTTACAGCTTCACATCTTAGTTGGTCTTCCAGTCCAGTGACTCGGCCATACTTTGGTTTCACTCTTTCTATTCTTCTCATTCTTTAGCCTGAGATTTGGAGATAGTATATACCAGGTATATTACATCAGACCTCATGCCAGATAAGTACAATGAGGCTTAGGAGGGGTCTTGATTTGTTATCTAATTCTATCCTTGGTCCAGGAATGCTTGAATGGCTATATCTTTAGGGTTTTGTTAATAGTTACATTCTTGATTTACAGAAGTCACTTTTTATTAAGCTTACATATTTGCATTCTGCTATAATTTCTCTCCCCTCACCCCAACAAAGCCAATGTGCTCAATAGTTTTCATTAAATGGCCTTCCCCTTTTTTTTTTCTGAAAAAAGTTATGGATGTTTGGTTGAAATTTGGCCCACTGCAATGCTCTATTGGACAGATATAAGGATTCTAGGAGGGGGCAGCTAGGTGGCACAGTGGATAGAGCACCGGCCCTGAAGTCAGGAGGACCTGAGTTCAAATCTGGCCTCAGACCAAACACTTGACACTTACTAGCTCTATGACCCTGGGCAAGTCACTTAACCCCAATTGCCTAAAAATAAAAAAAAAAGAAATAAAATAAAGATTTTAGGAGTTATCATCTGAGAAGGGAAGTTGAGCAGTGCCTTGAATACTCTCCTGAAGTAGTATGCTTTTAAAAATGTATTGTTATCTTTTGTTTTTACATCATCTTATTTCCTCTCTCTTTCTATGCCCAGCAAATCATTCTCTGGAACAACAACAGCAACAACAACAGAAGGGCAAGTCAGCAAAAGTAACACATTGAACCGACAATACATGCAATATTCCACACCCTTAGTCTCCTAGTTTGCAAAGAAGGGAATAAGGTACGTGTTCTAAACTCTACTTTGAGGACAAACTTGATAATTATAATTTTGCAACATTCAGTTTTGTTCTTTCCATTTATATTGCAGTAGTCATTGTATATATTGTTTTCCTACTTCTGTTTTTACTTTGCATTGGTTAATAAATCAATCTTCCCTTGTCAAACAGCATTCTTAAAACAAAGGACCTGGATTTGAGTTCTGGGTCTGTCACTTAACTAGCTTAGTGTTATTTTGCTCAAGTCATTTCACTATTTTGAGACTCAATTTCTTCATCTATAGGATGGGGATGATAATAATACTTGATACTCTCAGAACACAAGATCCTTGAGAGCAAGGGTCCCAGAGCCCAATACGCTGTCTGAAATATGATAGGGGCTTAATAAATGTCCAATGAATGAATACCTTCCTTCCCAGGTCATTCCATTGGTATTCTCACTGTGTAGTGGACACATTAGGGCCCAAACCAGGCCTCAGCATGAGTCCTTTAGCTTTCCATTTGCTCTAACACTCTTATCTCAAACACTCATTCTTTCTTATGACCAGGAAAAGAAACAAGTCAGTCATATAACAAGAGTAAGGAGTAACATATGATAGACCCTTTCTGTCTATTCTCTTCTCACCTACTACCTAAACTCTCTTTCTAGGCTTCCTCAACCAGCTCTTTCTCCATATGTTTCCCCATGAAACTGAACACTCTTTCAGCAGCAACCAAAGCTCAGCAACCCTGCTCCTTGCTTCACCCCACCCAGATCAACTTCCCAACCCCTTCAGGTGTATGGCTGTTCCTCCCTTGTTGCTGAGCCTAACATCTGATACCCTGGTCCCTACCGCACTCAGAGGGGCCTGGAAGAAGTAACCCATACATGAGGTAACTGGGCCTCTATAATGTCATGCCCTAAGAAGTGCAGAGACACTCATAAAAGCTTTTCACATGAGTGTCCTGAAGGGAGAGGGTTGTTTCTTTTTTCCACTCATGTCAGCCTTTAACCCCACTCTCGCTACCAAATGCCAAGGCTTTCAATGTTAGATTCTCACCAGATGTAGTTTGAAGTGTTATCAAGAACTATATAATCTCAGGAGACCTAGGTCTAGACTACTTCAGGGGTTTCCAATCTTTCTGTAAGAGGTACACAGTTTCCCAAAGCTTTTCAATAGTCAGGGATAGGAAGCTGGAATGACAAGTGAATTCATGGAGTGAGGGAGGGATTGGAGGAAAGTCCTGACTGTCCTCCTTTCTTTGATGAGAATCCCAGACAATTTAGAGTTGTGGGTGGGCAGTGACAACTTAATTAGGAATTTGACAACTAAGGATTAAAAATCTAACAGTAAATCCTGGTACACATTGCCCAGTTTATGACATGAAGTTAGACCAACAGCTTTTCCAGTTGGATCATCACTATACATAGCTTGGACCAATCCTGCAGATGGAAAATATAGTAGACCCAGAAGGAAACAGGAGGAAGTGATTGGGCCAGGTCCCATTTGGGAAACTGAGTGGCACTTGCAATGATGCTAAGCTGTTGGCTGTCATAAAAACTCATCTTTTTTTTTTTTTCAACAGTAATAGTCCACGTGATGCTATGTTGGTGAGACAGCTCGACAGGATAACTAGAGGGCTAGACTTGGAATAAGGAAAACTGCAACTAAATCTCCCCTTAGACACTGAGTAACTCTTTGACCTAGGCAAGTCATTTAACCTTTCTCAGGCTCAGTTTCCTCATCTGTAAAAAAATGATAGCATTTCCTTCACAGGATTGTCATGAGGATCATAAGAGATAAGATATGTGAAGTACTTTGCTGACCCTAAATTGCTATATAAACATTAGCTATTGTTATTATATGACTATTAACTGGTGAGTTCCAGGATCTTGGAAGAACCAAAATTTCAGGACACCCAAAGGGTAATGGTGGGTTTATAAAAATGCTTCAACATATTACCAACAACGACTTACATAAGCAGTGGTATAAAACACATCATTGAAGGCACTTATGACCAGGAAAAGAAACAAGCCAGTCACATAACAAGAATAAGGAATAACCAACGACAGACCCAAGTACTATATAGACATGAAATCTTCAGAAGGCCACAGGAAGGCAACCGGTGCGTTGGTGATGTCTTTCTAGGGAGGACTTACAGAAAGACATGGACACTGCAGGGTGAAAGGGGGGTGAACAAAGGTTATGATCCAGACCATTGGAGAAAGTTCTTACACCCCTAAGATTATGGAATCATTAAGATATTGAAGGAAGGATTTGATAATAATAATAGTAGCTTGTGTTTATATAGCTTTTTATAGTAACGAAGCACTCTATGCTCACTATGGCAGACTATATCTCCTGACATGATGGCAAGAGTGCTAGACTCTTGCTATGGAAACCTGAATTCAAATCTTACCTCTGATACTACTGATATTAGTGATCAGGTATATGACCATAGGCAAATGGATTAACTTCTCAAAATCAAGTCACTTTTCTGAACCTCTTTTTCTTTTTCTTTTTTTTAATTCTCTTTTTAAATTCTGAACTTAAACACCAAACTGATCATTTCCTTCGTTGCTGAGTGACAAAGAAACAGCTATGTACCTGAAGTGGTTGGAAAGTTGGCCTGATTGTAGTAAAGGAAGAATCAGAGATGGTGAGCTACAGATGCTGCTGAAAGAGTGGGTTGATTTGGGATGAATGGAAAGGGGTTTAATTGAATCAGCTGAAAAAGAGGGATTAGACTGAGTGGGTGGAGGATACAGAGAGAATGAATGGGCATAAAAAGTAAACAGAAAAAAATGTTCGTACATGAAACCACACATTTCTATTATGTATAATTTACCTTTCCTATGAAGCATATAATAAATAAGACTTATTAAAGTCAAATGAGATAAGACATATAAAGTGCTTTGCAAACCTTAAAACTCTATATAAATGTTAGCTTTTGGTGGTGGTGACGATGGCAGTGGCAGTGGTGATGGTGGCGGTAGTGATGATGTTGTGGGGTGGTGGTGGTGCTGACAGTGGTTGTGGTGGTGGTAGTATTTATATACTCTCCTGAAATCACACACAGAAAGACAACCCACTCACCTAATGTTAGCCAGCACTGATAGGGTAAATGCTCAGAAATTCCTTCCTTTGGATCAGGGGTTCTTCATCTTTTTTTTTTTCATAATGGCCCTTTTTAACAGTCTGGTGAAGCCTATGGACCCCTTCTCAGAATAATGTTGTTTTTTTTTTGTTTGTTTGTTTTAATAAATGATAATTGAAGGAGATGTCAAATTTGTGTCACAGGTTAGTGAAAGAAGAAGACGGGACAGATTCTCACTCCTCAGATATAGTCCTTCACACAGTGACTAGTTGGCTCAGTGAGTTAGAACATGAGTTTGATTCCTACATGTGACCAATCTACTTTGCTCTTTTCCAGGCAACAGATTAAACCCCTAATGTTACTCAGGCATCTTGAAAGTTGTGATGTAACGATATCACAAGGGTAAATGGGAAAAAGAGTATGGATAGAATCTTATACCAACCACTAGAGAAACAGTTCAAAACCTGTGCCCTTCTAGCAGTGGTAGTATTTCAGTTCCTTGCTAGTAGACTTTTGGTTTTGTTTTTATACACTTAGCACCATGCTTTGCATATCATAGGAACTTTGTTGAATTTCATTGAATATTCATAGGATCCTATAATTAGAAAGGTTAGAGTTAGAAGATCAGAGATAGAAGGGACCTTACAGGTCTCATCCAGTTGAACCAATACCCAAACAATGAAAAGCAATGTAATGGAGGGGAACTGAGCATTGACTCTGGTTTCAGAGGAATTATGTTTGAATTTTGCCTCTGATACTTACCTAGTACCTGAGGAACTTTGAGAAAATCACTTAATTTCTCTTGGCCTCAAGTTTCCTTATCTATAAAATGAGGGGATTGGATTAGATACAGATTAGATAAGATATGTAAAGTGCTTTGCAAACCTTAAAACTCTAAATAAATGTTAGCTATCGGTGGTGGTGATGATGGTGGCAGTAGTGATGGTGATGTGGGGTGGTGGTGGTGGTGATAGTGGTTGTGCTGGACTTAGAGTCAGGAAGACCCGAATTCAAATTCTGACTCAGACACTTTCTAGTTATGTGACCCTGGGCAAGTGACAACCTCTGTTTGCCTCAGTTACCTCAGCTGTAAAATGGGGATAATAATAGCACCTACCTCTCAGGCTGTTGAAAGGCTCAAATGAGATACTTGGAAAGCACTTAGCACAGTGCCTGGTACATAGTAGGCACTTAATAAATGCTTGTTTCCTGACTGCTTCCCTGCCTTCCTACTAGATGGCCTCTATGGGCCCTTCTAACTCTAGATCTATGTTTCAATTATTTCTCTGAAACAGGAATCCCCATTAAAATGTACATAAATAGGCTCTGCAGCTCACCCCCACTTCTTGAAGACCCCACCCCCCACCCCAGATGAAGAAATGGTTGTCACCAGAGATAATTCACTCTACTTCTGAACTTTCTATTTTGAAGAGACTTATGTGGTTTAAATCTGCTCACAACTTTTTACCATTGCTGCTAGTTTTTTGACCCTCAGGGGCCAAGCAAAATAAATCTGATAACTTTTTCATATGATGGCCCTTCAAATACTTGAAAACAGCCACTATGTCCCCATTAAGTCACTACTTGTGATTTTTTTTTCTAAAATCCCACATGTATAAGACTTTATATTTATCACTATTCAATTTCATTTTATTAGATTCAGGTCATGAGAGCAATCCCCAAAAGCTATAACCTAAGCCCATTTATCTCTCTCTCTCACTCTCCACTCTCTCTGTCTCCATCTCTCTCCTCATGTTCCCAGCCCCCCAAATAATCTTAATTTACATGGGCAGATAAGATTGTATATCTTGGGCAGCTAGATGGCATAGTAGATGGAGCACTGTTCCTGGAGTCAGGAAGACCTGAGTTCAAATACAGCCTCAGACACTTACTAGCTGTGTGGCCCTGGACAAATCACTCAACCCAGTTTGCCTCAGTTTACTCATCTGTCAAATGAGGAAAAGGAAATAGCAAACCACTCCAGTATCTTTGCCAAGAAAACTCCAAATGGGGTCACCAAGAGTTGGACATGACTGAAGTGACTGAACAACAACAACAACTGTATATTTATCCATACCTAATCTCTCTCCTGAGTTCTAATGCTGAGTCACCAACCACCTGTTATACCAATCAATTAGATGTTCTTAGACATCACAAACTCAACATGTCCAAAATGAAAATTATTTTTTCTCACCTATAGCCCTTCAAACTTCACTATTTCTGTTGAGGGTACCACCATATTTCTACTCACCCAGGTTTACATCCTTGGCATTATGCTAGATTCTTCCTCTCATTCATCTACTATTATCCAATCAATTGTCTAGTCTCTACCTCCACAGTAAACCTTATATTTGATTTCTTCTTTCTACTCACATAGCCACTACCTTCGTTCAAGCCCTCTTCACCTACCACCTGAGTTGTTGCAACAGCCTCTTAATTGTACTCCTAGCTTCCATCCTGTCCCCTTCTCTAATCCATTTTCCACAAACTTGCCAAAAATAAGCTTCCTAATGCACAAGTCTGACCATGTTGCTCTTCTGATTAAGAAGCTTCAGTGGCTCCTTAATCCTTTTGAGATAAAACACAAATTCCTCAGCTTTTCTGGGCTTATTTCACACTATTCCCCTTCATACACTCTGTATTCCAGCCGAACAGTACTATTTGTGGTTCCCAAGATTCCATGTTCTACCTCGACCCCTATGTCTTTGTTCAAGTTTTCTCCTGTGAATGAAATGCACTTCCTTCTCACCTCTGCCTCTTAGAATTCCTGACTTCTTTCATGTCTAATCATATGTGTGCTCTACCAAGGGAAGCCTTTCATGATTTTCCTAATTACTAATGTTCAATCCTTCCTCAAATAATCATGTATATACTTATTTGTTAACATATTATATCTCCCAGTACGGTTATTGTATAACTCTTAAGGGCAGGTGTTGTTTTGGTTTTGTCTTTGTATCCCATTACTTAAGAAAATGATTTATATACACAAGGAATTTAATAAATGATTTTTTGATTGAATTGAATTTTATATCCCAATTCTGTCATCTAATATGTTAGCTATCCTTTCTAGGTTCACTTAACTGAGAATCTGATCAGAATGTCATTTATATCTTCATAAATCTATGATTAAAAGGTGTAATGGGACCCACGTGTACAAAAAAACTTGTAGCAGCTCTTTTTGTGTTGGCAAAGAATTGGAAATTGAGAGGATCCCGATCAGTTGGGGAATGGCTGAACAAGTTGTGGTATATGAATGTAATGGAATACTATTATGGTATAAGAAATGATGAGTAGGTAGACTTCAGAAAAACCTGGAAAGACTTGTATGAACTGATGTAGAGTGAAGTGGGCAGAACTAGGACAACATTGTACACAGTAACAGCCATGTTGTACAAGGACTAATGTTGATAGACTTAGCCCTTCTCAGCAATGCAGGGATCTAAGACATCTCCAAAGGTCTCTTGATGGAAAATCATGAGAGGTTCCTCCTATTGGTTCTAATTTTTCTTTACAACATTACTAATGTGAAAATATGTTTAATAGAAATGTATATGTATAGCCTATATCAGATTGCAAGCTGTCTTGGGGAGGGAAGGAGGAAAGGGGAGGGAGAAAAATTTAAAACTCAAAAGCTTATGGAAGTGATTGTTGATAAATCAAAATTAATTTTAAAAAGGTGGAATGGGACAGAGCTAAGGGAAGATTCCTTGGGAATTTTGCTAGAGACCTTCCTCCTCGATGCATCAATCTATTAAATCGTTATTTTTTGGAGTTAACAAGTTCTCTCTTCACTACTACTAGTCTACTATTGCCTAATCCACATCTCTTCATCTTCTCCACAAGGATATTTTGTCAAAAACCTTGCTGAAATCCAGGTACTCTCTGTTTATGCCACCAGTCAAAAAAAAGAAAATGAGGTTAGTCCGGCATAAACTTTTCTTTATTAAGAGACCATGTTAGTTTTTATTGATCACTATTCTCTTTCTATGAACTCACAAAGCATATTTTTGATCATGTATAATGGAATTTTTCTAAGAATAAAAGTAAATTTTACCAGCCTCTCAGTCTAAAGGCTATATGCCCTTTTGAAAATTACCATATCTGCTTATCTCCAGTGTTGGGGCATCTTTCTCATTTTCCACAAATTCTTAAAGATCAATAATAGTGGTTCACTAATCACATAATTGAGTTCTTGAGGCAGGTAGGTATGCTCTTACCATTTCTTCATGTATGTTCTAGGAAAGCCAACATGCTACTGACACTCTTCATAGCTTACTACAATATAAGATGAAGGACAACAAGGTTCTGCATGGATCAAATGAGAATCACTCTCCTCAGAAGGTACCAGCCATCAAAAAACATAATTATAAAGAATTAAGAGCTTGATTTATATAATACTTTATGGTTTACAAAGCACGTTACACAAATGATCTGATTGGATCCTCACAATTCTGTAGGATAGATAATGCAAGTATTATTATTCCTTAGTTGAAGAAATTGAAAACATAAGAGCTTGAATGACTTTTCCAAGATCATCCATGTATTAAGTCACAATATCATAGATCTCTAAAGTTTGAAGGGATCTTAAAATTAGGTAATCTAGCTCCTTGATTTTTATAAATGAAGATATAGAGAAATCAGAGAGCAAGTGGCTTGCCAAAGGTCACAAAGTTAATAAGCAATAGAGTTGAGATTCCAACTTCATCCTCAAGACTCCACAATATCCTACTGCTTCTTGTTAGGGTTAATATTCAGACCCAATTCTCCTCATTCTAAGTACAGTGCTATTTCCAATGTATAGTGTTATTTATCAAGGACAACACACACACACAAAATGCTGGATAAATGCTGGAATTCAAAGGGCTATGGACACCTTTCAATTCAACACACATTTATTATATTCATATTAAAATACACTGTGCTTAGGTGCTGGGGATGGAAAGATAATAATGATAGCTAAGATTTATGTAGCAACGACAACTTTGTGAGGGAGTGTACTACTATTATCCCCTATTAAACAAATGAGGAAACTGAGACTAGAGATTAAGTCACTTGTCCAGGGTCACAAAGTTAGTAAGTGTATAAGGAGGGATTTGAACTCAGGTCTTCCTGATTCTATAGGTTCATGACTCCATTGACTTCATACTACCTCCCAAATGAAAATGATAGTCTCTGCCTTCAAGGGACTTAGAGTCTAGCCAGATAAATACAGTGAAACATAATGCATAATGCAAAGTAGAGTGTTAAGGCTAAAAAGAAGAGATAGAGTGAGTGCTCTAGGAAAATCTGCAATGAAAGAAAACTCTTTAGCTGTGGAATCAGAGAAGGCTTCAGCAAGGAAGTTACACCAGGGTTCAGCTTGAAGGGAGAAAAGGATTATGCTAGGTAAAGATGAGGAGGAAGGTAATTCAAAGAATAGAGGAGATCCTGTGTGAATTCACAAAGGTGGGGGATGGCATGCTAAATTAGGGAAACTGCTGCTAATCTAGGTCAAGTGGAGCCCAGAACAGAATGAGGAACGATGTGAAATAATCTGAAAAGGTAGGTTAGACCAGAAGTGTCAAACACACAGATATCTGGCTGTTTGCAGCCTACAAACCCCAAGTGTGGTTTGAACTAGATTAAAATGTTATTAAAAATATTTAACAAAATAAATTAGTTATAAGAACAAATATATAAATACATGATTTTCTAGTACAATATGTGGACCACAGGGATCCTTATGTATGTTTTAATGCCCTCTATTTCTACTTGATTTTGACACCACTGGGTTAGAAAACCTTACCTGCCAATCTGAGGAGGGCATGTTTTATCCTCCAGGGCTTCTTAAACTTTTTCCACTCAGGGACTCCTGTTGAGTCAGCTTTTGTTGGCTTGCGGGGCCTAACGGCATGCACAGTGCAAAGTGCACATGCTTTGTGTATAAATCCAAGGTTGCGGTGAAGTTGCACAATGCAACATGGCCAAGAGCTGCCAGAAACCCCTTAGATTTATTACACCTTTGATTTTGAATTAATTTTTGGTTGTTGCATGTTCAGAAAACTTTTACTGTTGCCAAATTTTTTGTGACCGGAAATGGGGTCACAACTCACAGTTTAAGAAATGCTGCATAAGCAATAGGGAACCACTAAAAGTTAATGAGCACAGGAATGCATGGTCACACCTGTGCATTACTATTTTGGAAGATTATTTTAGCAGAAAATATTGAGGATGACTATTAGGTCTATATCTCAAAGAGATACAAAAAAAGGGGAAGGGAGGCTCTATCTACAAAAATATTTACAGCAGCTTTTTTGTGGTAGCAAAGATTTAGAAATTGAGGGGATGCCTATCAGCCAGGGAATGACTGAACACGTTGTAGCATATGATTGTAATGGAATATTAATGCTGTAAGAAATGATGAGCAGGCTGATTTCAGAAAATTTGGGGGATGGGTGAGAATAGAGGCAGGTGGGCCTTTTGGAAAGCTGTTAAAGTAACTGAGGCAAGAGGTGATGAGGGCTTGCACTGTGGTGACCGTGTTAGGAGAGAGAATAATAATAATTAACAATAACAATAATAAAAACTAGTGTTTACATGGTGTTTTAAGGTTTGCAAAGCACGTTACAAATATTATCTTATTTGATCCTTACAATAACCTTGGGAGGTAGGTGCTATTATTATCCCCATTTTATGTATGAGGAGACTAAGATAGAATTTAGATGATTTGCCTAGGTTCAAAACCTAGTAAATGTGTGAGGTCAGATTTAAATTCAGGGCTTTCTAATGTCAGGTCAGGCACTCTATCCACTGCACTACCAGCTGCCTTCTAAGAGCACAGGGGAGAGAAAGAGAAATGTATCTGTTAACTTGAAACAAGTCAAATAAGGGATTTTGCTACAGTTTGTGGCAAGGTACTTGAACCTTATAAGTGTGGAACAATTTAGGGTCTAAGACTCTAAGTATTTAGGAAAAAAAGATGCTGGTATTCAGATACTTTTTAAGGCTCTGCTATCCTCTTATTTTATTATTACTATAACTGGCACACATCCTACTTGAATGCTGGAAAGCTTCATGATGGTGACATATCCCACTTTCTAAAGACAGGAGCCAACTGGTTCTCTTAAGCCAGGGGGGCATCCCAGAAAATGGGTCATCAAATGAAATATAATTGTTGAGTGTCTACCAAATGTTTAGCACTTTACTTGGTATTATGAGGCAACACAGCCTATAGGGCACTGGACTTTTAGTCAGGAAGACTTGAGTTCAAATGTGACTTCAGACATCTACTAGCTATGTGATCTAGGGAATGTCACTTGACCTCTGTCTCTGCTTCCTCAGCTGTAAAATGGGGTAATAATAGTACCTACCTCGCAGGGATGTTCTGAGGATTAAATGAGATAATATTTGTAAAACATTTAGCACAGTGCCCAGTAGCTAGTAGGTGATATATTAATGTGTGTTCTCTTCCCCACCCCAAAGATATCAGATATAATAACAGCTGATATTTATATAGCATTTTAGACATGTTATATCCTTGCATCTTAACAAAAAAATCCTGAGAAGTATGAGTATCTACATTTTACAGATGAGGAGACTGAGGCTTAGAGAGACATCATATGTAGGATCTGAATTTCTGACTCCAAATACTAAGATGATGCTACATTTCAAGATCTCTCCTCCAAGAGCTTACAGTTGATTTGTCTCAATAAGGTTATATTTAGAGAGCATTACAGAAACTACATATTCTATATCCACAAATATCCATATATGCATATATTTTATATACATGTGTGCATACATACAGAGAAAGAGAGAGAGAGATAGAATAGTGAGCTCCTTCTCTTTCTTCATTTCAATTCCCTTTGACATCATTCTTTTCCCCTCTTTCTTCCTTCCTCTGGGTCAACAATGAGATAGCCTTTTTCCTTGAGAAGACAAATCCTCTCTATATACTTATCAAGAACATAGCAAATATTATGGGCTCAATTAACTTTTTTCAGTAGATTGTCCCCTCAATCATGTCCCTTCTCTCACTCTACTCTTCAACTCCTACTTATCTATTAGTTCCTTCCCTATTGCCCACCAAACATTCCCAAGCCTCTCCCATGCTTTAAAGAAAAGGCCTTATCTAGATTCTTATCATCCCCTAGAGTTTTCATCTTATATTACCCCCTTTCACTCCCTCAAAGTCCTAGAAAAACCTATCTGTATTTATTTCTTCCTTTTCCTCTCCTCTTACCCATGTCTCAACCTTTTGCAGGATGGATTTTGAACTCATCACTCATCTGAAATTGTTTCCTCTAAATTTACTGATAAGCCTCTAACTTGTCAAATGATGATCTTTTCTATGTCTTCATCCTTCCTGAACTCTCTGTTGCTTGACACTGTTGAACACTCTTCCTGGATCATCTTCACTCTGTTTTTGTTTTTGGATACAACTCTCTTCTAGTTCTCCTCCCTGTATGACCTCACTCAGTCTCCTTTGTTAGCTTTCATCCCTATCACATCCCTTAACTGTAGGCATGGCCCAAATCTCTTTCCTGGTAACTTTTCTCTCTTTGTGTTCTCTCTTGCTGACCTCATTAACTCCTGTATGTTTAATTATCATTTCTATACTGATGAATCACAGATCTCTTTAATCAGCCCCTGGGTCTCTCTTGAGCATTATCAACCATCTACTGAACATTGCAAATCGGATATCTTAAAAGACATCTTAGACTCAATATGCCCAACAGAAGTCATTTTCTTTTCTGCCAAAGTTTCCTCTCTACTCAACCTCTCCATTTCTGTAAACACATTACAATGTTTGTAGTCTTCCAGTTTTGTAACCTTCGGGTTATTCTTGACTCCCTCACTCTCCCAAAGCCAATGATTTGCCAAATCTTGTTTCTACTGCCACCAATATCTCTTGCATCCAATCCTTTCTTTCTACTCACAAGGCCACCATCTTGGTTAATAACCTGAACCATTGCAAAGGCCTTCTAATTGATCTCCTTGCCTCAAGCCTGTCTCTATTCTAATCCATTGTCCACATAGCTGATAAAGTGATTTTCTTTAAGTGAAGACCTGGTCATTTCACTCTCCTACCCAACAAACTTCACTGGTTCCTTATTGCTTCTAGGATAAAATAAAAGCTTTACTGCTTGGTTTTTAAAGCCCTTCCCAAACTCAACCAACCTATTTTTCCAGCCCCATCATTCAGTACTAAATGGTTCAGCAAAAGCACTGGTCTTGCACCAGTTAAACTGGTCTTTTCTCTTTAACTCCACGTACCATTCCATCTCCTGTGTCTACACTTTTGCCCTAGCTTTTCTCCATGCCTGGAATGCACTCTCTTCTCATCTCCATTTCAGGGAATT